ACGATCACGACCGCAAATGTGGGGCCAGGGCGTCGTTTTCCCTGTGTTTTTATTGAGTTTCGGCCGCCCAGGGCCAACAGGGCCCCAAGAGGCTGCAGGGAGGCCCCAGGAGGCCGCAGCGATGGCTCCAGACGCCTTTCAAGACGAGTCCCATGACGCCAAGAAGGCCCCCAGAGGCCCCGAAGACGCCCCGAGAGGCACCCCGAGAGAGGCCCAATTAGCAAGAATCGCCGATTTCCTATTGGAGAGCTTATGTTTTGGGCGTGTTTGCCTTTTGGGCGTCCTCTGCGTCCAAGCCCAAGAGGCCCCCAAGACTGCCCCGCAGGCTCCCGAGAGGGCTCCAAGACGACCCCAAGAGGGTCCCAAGACGGCCCGAGAGGCCTCCAAGAGAGCCCAAGAGAGCCCCAGGACGAGCCCCAGAGGGGCCCCAGAGGTGCACAGCCATGTTCAAATTCCGAGCTTTCGGCCCCATAGGCTCCCAGGAGGCCCCAAGAGGTCCCCAGGAGGCCCCAAGAGGCCCCCCAGAGGCCCCAAGAGGCCCCCAAGAGACCCCCAGGAGGCTCCCAAGAGGCACCCCATCGTCGATTTCCTATTAGGAAACTGATATTTTTGGCGTGTTCGCCTTTTGGGTTTCCACCAAGAGGCACCCAAGACGGTCGAGGATGCTCCCAAGAGGGCTCGAAGACGGCCCACGAGGGGGCCAAGACGGCCCACGAGACGCCTAAACCGCTCAACAATGCCCCAAGTCGGCGCCCAAGACGGGACGAGGAACCGAACATGCGAGCCATTTGGCCCAAGAGGCCCCCAGGATACCCCAGGAGGCTCCAAGAAGCGCCCAAGAAGCCCCAAGAGGTCCCCAAGAGTCCCGCAAAAACGCAAAATGAGTCCCCGAACACGCCCCAAGGGGCATTCCAATAGAGCCCCAATAAGTAGAAGTCGTCGATTTCTTATGGGGAACCTGATGTTTTCGGCGTGTTCGCTTTTTGGGCTTCCACTGCGTCCAAGACGGCCCAAGAGGCCCCCAAGACTGCCCACAGGCTCCCAAGAGGGCTCCAAGACGACCCCAAGAGGGTCCCAAGACGGCCCGAGAGGTCCAAGAGAGCCCAACCGAGCCCCAGGACGAGCCCCAGAGGGGTCCCAGAGGTGCACAGCCATGTTCAAATTCCGAGCTTTCGGCCCCAGAGGCTCCCAGGAGGCCCCAAGAGGTCACCAGGAGGCCCCAAGAGGCCCCCCAGAGGCCCCCCAGAGGCCCCAAGAGGCCCCCAAGAGACCCCCAGGCTCCCAAGAGGCACCCCAATAGAGCCCCAAATAAGCAAACATCGTCGATTTCATATTAGGAAACTTATATTTTTGGCGTGTTCGCCTTTTGGGCTTCCACTGCGTCCAAAACGGCCCGAGGATGCCCCCAAGAGGGCTTCAAGACGGCCTACGAGGGGGCCAAGACGGCCCACGAGACGCCTAAACCGCTCAACAACGCCCCAAGTCGGCGCCCAAGACGGGGACGAGGAACCGAAAATGCGTGCCATGTGGCCCAAGGGGCCCACAGGATACCCCAAGATGCTCCAGGAAGCGCCCAAGAAGCCCCAAGAGGTCCCCAAGAGCCGCAAAAACACAAAAAGAGTCCCCGAACACGCCCCAAGGGGCATTCCAATAAAGCTCCAATAAGCAAAAGTCGTCGATTTCCTATGGGAAAACTAATATTTTTGGCGTGTTCGCCTTTTGGGCTTCCACTGCGTCCAAGACGGCCCAAGAGGCACCCAAGCCGGTCGAGGATGCCCCCAAGAGGGCTCCAAGACGGCCCACGAGGGGGCCAAGACGGCCCCCGAGGCGCCCAAACCGCCCAAGAACGCCCCGAGTGGGCGCCCAAGACGGGGACGAGGAACCGAAGATTCGAGCGTTTTGGCCCAAGAGGCCCCTAGGAGACCCCAAGATGCTCCAAGAAGCGCCCACTCCCCAAGAGGCCCCCATGAGACCCGAAAACACACCAAAAGAGGCCCCGAAGACGCCCCAAGACCCAAGAGGCCCTCCAATAGAGCCCCTCCGGCCCCTTGTGCTACACCTCCCCGTGACATCTCGGGAACGCTCCCGGTACCGCTCCCCCGGGCGTTCCGAGGGGCCTCCAGCGCTCCAGGAGGGCCCGAGACGTCTCCCAGGAGCCCCCAGAAGGCGAAAGGATGGTCCAAAACGCTCCCGAGCAGCACAAGTCAGCCTGCCGACGGCTCTCGAGGCTCCCAGGTAACCTCCAAGAGACTCCAAGGGAGGTCCGAGAGGCGTCCCGGGACGGCCCGAAGAAGCCCAAATCGTAGATTTTCATGATTTTTTTCTAATGTTTTTGGCTTCTCGCGTTTTCGAGCTTCCCACGGTCCAAGCGCCGACGAGGCTCCCAAGACCGCCCCAAGACCACCCAAGAGACCCTCAGGACGGTCCCAAGACGGGCCAAGAATGCTCCAAGACTGCCGAAGAGGCGCCCAGGCGGAAGAGGAGGAGGAGGAGGAGGAGGAGGAGGAGGAGGAGGAGGAGGAGGAGGAGGAGGAGGAGGAGGAGGAGGAGGAGGAGGAGGAGAGGAAGGAGGAGGAGGAGGAGGAGGAGGAGGAGGAGGAGGAGGAGGAGGAGGAGGAGGAGGAGGAGGAGGAGGAGGAGGAGGAGGAGGAGGAGGAGAGGAGAGGAGGAGGAGGAGGAGGAGGGAGGAGGAGGAGGAGGAGGAGGAGGAGGAGGAGGAGGGAGGAGGAGGAGGGGGAGGAGGGGGGGGAGGAGGAGGGTGTTCTGCTAAATGGTTTCCTCCCCTCCGCGGGCTCCCTGCCTCTCTTTTCCCTGCCTCTTGCGTTGCTTCCCCCTCGGCCTCGTCTTCCTCCTCCTCTCCCTCGTATAGGCAATGCAGTGGTCAGATGCAATGGTAGTTGTAGTCTTAGTCATATAGTACAATGCGGTCACGCATTGTGCTTTCAATCATGTCAGATGCAATGGTAGTTGTAGTCTCTCCAAGCTGTCCCCTCTCGCCCGCGGCCGAGCTCGCGCATTAGCCGCGGCCTCGCCCGCGCATTAGCCGCGGCCTCGCCCGTGCTACGGCGTGCACTCCAAGGACGTCAGCCCCTGGGGTTGGAAGAGCTGGAGTAGCAGCAGCAGCAGCGGGACGAATTGCAGGCGGAGTGGCGCCTCCTTCTCGCCCTCGTCCTCTTGTCTCGTCGTCTTGCGAGGGGCGCGGGAGGTGACAAAGACATCCCGCCTCTTGCGGTGCTCAATTCGCAGTCCAGCGCCACCTGGGCCGCTTAGCCGACCAGCGCGCTCGCCAGGTCCGCGACAAAGGGGGGTCCTGTGAGGAAAGTCCTCGGGGCCTCGTGCGGCGCGCAATCGTTCTATCATCTAGTCCACACGTCCGCTCCGTAAGACATGGATCGACGTCCGCGCGGCGATGCTCCGACGCAAGTCCTACGTGAATCCGACGTAAATTCGACGTACATTCGACGTGCATCCGACGCAATTCGACGTTGTCCGGCGTGCGCCCGGCGTGAATCCGACGAGGGTCCGACGCGCGTCTGGTCTCAAGTTGCCGCGAGGGGCCTCCCGGTTTTTCTTCAACATAAGGGTTCTGCCCAGACATCTGGCGCTCCAGTTTTTTCAGCCCCGGAGGTTTGGACCACTTCCCTGGGGCATATTTTCCGTCCCGAGTCGTTTTCTGACGGTCCCCGGGCCCGTCGAGGGCCCCTGGAGGCTGAAAGTAACTTGAAACTGGCCGCTCCGATTTTTTTCGGGGGGTCGGATCTCTGGGTGTCCGCCCCCGAGAGGTGCCCGACCACCAGGAGGTGTGGGTCGACGACGCGTCGGACAGGAGCGGCGGCGGCTGTGGCTGCACGCGGGCAGCCCCCCCGGGGCAGCCGTGGCCCTCCGAGGAGAAAAACATGCAGATGCCGATGCCGCAGCGGCCATATTCGCTTCGGAGTCATGGCTAGGGCGCGCCTTGGGAGGGGCCCCGAGGAGCAGCGGGGTCGGTCTCTCGTCAGATCCAGGCGTCGCAATCCTTTCGCAGCGGCCAGTTCTTTGGGCGCTGGGACGCTCGCAGATCGATCTGGTTTGAAAAATGACATAGCAAAATTGGATCTAGGACTCCGGGCGCGCGATCTTGCACGCTTTTGTTCCCAACCATCCTGTGGTGTTGGGTCTTCGTTCTGAAGAGCGTTCTCCTCCTTCCTCCTCCTCCTCTCCTCCCTCCTCCCCCTCCTCCTTCCTCCCTGCGTTTAGCCCACCCAGTACAACGTTTCGTGGCCCCATAGGAGGCTCCACAGAAGGCCCCAGTGCTACCGCCTGCATGCCTCTCCCACACCCATTTCGGCACACCCCTCATACGTTTCGTGGCTCCATAGGGAGTTCCACCGAAGGCCCCAGTGCCACCGCCCGCATGCGTCGCTCACACCCACTTCGGCACACCACTCATACGTTTCGTGGCCCCATAGGGAGCTCCACCGATGGCCCCAGTGCCACCGCCCGCATGCTTCCCCACACCCATTTCGGCACACGCCTCACACGTTTCGTGGCCCCATAGGGAGCCCCACAGAAGGCCCCAGTGCCACCGCCCGCATGCGTCACCCACACCAATTTCGGCACACCCCTCACACGTTTCGTGGCCCCATATGGAGCTCCACCGAAGGCGCCAGTGCCACCGCCCGCATGCGACCCTCACACCCATTTCGGCACACCCCTCACACCTTTCGTGGCCCCATAGGGAGCTCCACCGATAGCTTCAATGCCACCGCCCGCATGCGTCCCCCACACCCACTTCGGCACACCTCTCCAACGTTTTGTGGCCCCATAGGGAGCTCCACCGAAGGCCCCATTGCCACTCCCCACATGCGCCACCCATACCCATTTCGGCACACCCCTCACACGTTTCGTGGCCCCATAGGGAGCCCCACCGAAGACCCCAGTGCCCCCGCCCGCATGCTTCACCCGCACCCCTCACACGCTTCGTGGCCCCATAGGGCTCCAGCGAAGGCGCCAGTGCCACCGCCCGCATGCTCACCCACACCAATTTCGGCACACCCCTCACACCTTTCGTGGCCCCATAGGGAGCTCCACCGGGGGCGCCAGTGCCACCGCCCGCAGGCCTTACCCACATTTATTTCGGCACACCCCTCGCACATTTCGTGGCCCCATGGGGAGCTCCACCGAAGGCCCCACACCCACTTCGGCACACCCCTCACACGTTTCGTGGCCCCATAGGGAGCTCCACAGAAGGCCCCAGTGCCACCGCCCGCATGCGTCCCCCACACCCACTTCGGCACACCTCTCCAACGTTTCGTGGCCCCATAGGGAGCTCCGCCGAAGGCCCCAGTGCCACCGCCCGCATGCGCCACCCACACCAATTTCGGCACACCCCTCACACGTTTCGTGGCCCCATAGGAAGCTCCACCGAAGGCGCCAGTGCCACCGCCCACATGCGTCACCCACACCCATGTCGTCACACCCCTCACACGAGTCGTGGCCTCATAGGGAAGTAACTCCATCCAAGGCCCTAGTGCCACCGCCCGCATGCCTCACCCACATTTATTTCGGCACACCCCTCACACGTTTCGTGGCCCCATAGGGAGCTCCACCGAAGACCCCAGTGCCACCGCCCGCATGCGTCTCCCACACCCATTTCGGCACACCCCTCACACGTTTCGTGGCCTCATAGGGAAGGAACTCCATCCAAGGCCTTAGTGCCACCGCCCGAATGCCTCAGCTACATTTATTTCGGCACACCTCTCACACGTTTCGTGGCCCCATAGGGAGCTCCACCGAAGACCCCAGTGCCACCGCCCGCATGCGTCACCCACATTTATTTCGGCACACCCCTCACACGTTTCGTGGCCCCATAGGGAGCTCCACCGAAGGCCCCAGTGCCACCTTCCACTTGCGTCCCCCACACCCATTACGGCACACCCCTCACACGTTTCGTGGCCCCATAGGGAGCTCCACAGAAGGCCCCAGTGCCACCGCCCGCATGCGCCACCTATGCCCATTCTGGCGCACCACTCATGCGATTCGTGGCCCCGTAGTGAGCTCCACCGAAGGCGCCAGTGCCACCGCCCACATGCGTCACCCACACCCATGTCGTCACACTCCTCACACGAGTCGTGGCCCCATAGGGACCCCAGTGCCGCCGCCCGCATGCGTCCCCCACACCCACTTCGGCACACCCCTCACGCGATTCATGGCCCCATAGGGAGCTCCGCCGAAGGCGCCAGTGGTTGCGTTCGCATGCGCCCACCGGACAAATTTCGGCAAAGGGAGATCCACCGACGGCCCCAGTGGCTGCGTTCTCATGCCCCACCGCACCTTTTTTCGGCACACCTCTCACGCGTTTCGTGGCCCCATAGGGGATTCCTCCGACGGCCCAAGTGGCTGCTTTCGCATGCGCCCACCGGACAAATTTTGGGACACCCTCACACGTTTCGTGGCTCTATAGGGAACTCCTCCGAATGCGGTGCTTACAATGACGGTACTCACAATTGCATATGATTGGGTCCTTCGCCAGGCTAATTGTTTTGTTGTCGTTGTCGTTGTCGTTGTCGTTGTCGTTGTCGTCGTTGTTGTTGTCGTTGTCGTTGTTGTTGTGGTTATTGTTGTTGTTGCTGCTGCTGCTGCTGTTGTTGTTGTTGTTGTTGTTGTTGTGGTTGTTGTGGTTGTTGTGGTTGTTGTTGTTGTTGTTGTGGTTGTTGTTGTTGTTGTTGTTGTGGTGGTGGTTGTTGTTGTTGTTGTTGCTGCTGTTGTTGTTGTTGTGGTTGTTGTTGTTGTTGTTGTTGTTGATGTTGTCGTCGTCGTCGTTGTCGTTGTCGTTGTCGTTGTTGTGGTTGTGGTTGTGGTTAATGTGGTTGTGGTTGTGGTTGTGGTTGTTGTTGTTGTTGCTGCTGCTGCTGTTGTTGTTGTGGTTATTGTTGCTGTTGTTGTTGTTGTTGTTGTTGTTGTTGTTGTTGTTGTTGTTGTTGTTGTTGTTGTTGTTGTTGAACATTATTACTTCTAAAGAATAATTATTGTTGGGACCCCTGGTGCACGGCCCCCCCGCCGCGCCTAGGCCGCAGCCTCATTTTCATCATTTTCGTGAGGAAGTCTCAGGCAAAACGGGTTGGTCCGGATCCGGTTGTGTTGTTACGATCGGTTTTCCCTTGCAAAAAATAAGCTAAAGTGGACATTTCTTGTTCTAACATAACCAAACTTCAAGAATCCCTTGCAAAAAATAAGGTAAAGTGGACATTCGCGCGCGCAAGACGAAATCCTTCCAAAACCTTAGTTTTCGTAGCGATTTTAACATAAAAACATCAAAAAACCAATGGTTTTTCAACAAAAAATGTCAAAATTTCATCCCGCGCGCTCTTGCGGATTCGTAGGAAACCCAACACTTTTTAAACATTTCTGTCAAACGGGCTTTTGCGAGCAACTTTTTTGCTTCGAACTTCTCCAACAACGGTTGCGCACCTGCCAGGGCCATCATCCCTGTCAAATAATACCATGCGGGACACATTCGTTTTTTCTTCGCGCGCGCACGCCGAAATCTTCAAAAACCATTGGGTTTCTTAGGAATTTTAGCACCGCGCAACATAAAATCATACGAATCGCACCGTAGGTCCTCGAATTTCGAAACAGGGGGAAAAGTCGTATACTAAGCGAGCGTCCGTCCAGAAAATGTTACCACAACAAGTCACTGTACCCATGCGCCAGTGTAGTAGCCACGGTCGTCCGCAGGCCACGAAGTGAAGTGTCCGAACGTCATAGGGCGGGAAGCTGGGTGTGGGTGGTGGCGAAGAGTCGTTTGGAAATTTGGTAGAGCTTGAACCGGCCCCCCCCACAAAGTGGGGGTATTGGCGGCGTCGTATGAAAACCCTGGCACTGGTGAGAACGGAGTGTCCCCACGTGCTAGTAATTGTTGTTGTTGTTGTTGTTGTTGTTGTTGTTGTTGTTGTTGTTGTTGTTGTTGTTGTTGTTGTTGTTGTTGTTGTTGTTGTTGCTGTTGTTGTTGTTGTTGCTGTTGTTGTTCCGCAGCGTCGGATGTTAGAGGGTCCCGAGCCCCTGGCGGTCTCAACGCCCCCGTTCGCCGCCTCCCGCGGCCCAGAGCGGGCGCGGGGGAGGCCGCTCCCTGCTGCTTGCCCAGGGGGGCCTGCAGGGGCAGCCTGGACTGCCGCGGGGGGGGGGGGGCTATGTGTGTGCAGCCGCGGGCCTTTGCGCCAAGGAGCTTCATCGTGGAGATTCTGGAGGGGAAGGCCGAGGTGCCGCACCTTGTCGTCACCATGCCTGGCCAGGGCCCTCCTGGGCTCAAGTCGGGAATGCCCCTCTTCGGGAGGAATATCCAAGAAGAGTCTAGAAATAGCCTGATGACGTTTTTTCGTGCTCATTTGTTTTTTTGGTTCCCCACATGCTTCGTGGGGTTCTGGTTTTCTTCCCTGCTGCGTCTCACCCGCGCTTCTCCTTCTCCTTCTCCTCCTCCTTCTCCCTCTCCTCGCACACAGAGACACACATACACACAGAAACAGTAAACGCACACACGACCTGACAACGCCAGTGCGCGCCTGGCGTGTTCACAGCATCACACAGCCAATCCACGCGCACAACATACTAGACACCCACATGAGACACACCAGACGCACGCAACACAACCACTAGCGCACTCCTGACGTGTTGGCTGCATCATACACGGGGTTGCGCAGGGGGTGGTCTCTGAGCGCGGCCGCTATCCACGGCACTGTCGCAACGCCCAGCAGGCGTGGCACTGTCTGGACACCAAAGGGGGTGCGCAGGGGGTTGTCTCTCAGCGTGGCCGCTATCCACGACACTGTCGCAAAGCCTAGCAGGCGTGGCACTTTCTCGACACCACAGGGGATGCGCAGGGGGTGGTCTCTCAGCGCGGCCGCTATCCACGATACTGTCGCAAAGCCTAGCAGGCGTGGCATTTTCTGGACACCAAAGGGGGTGCGCAGGGGGTTGTCTCTCAGCGCGGCCGCTATCCACGACACTGTCGCAAAGCCTAGCAGGCGTGGCACTTTCTCGACACCACAGGGGGTGCGCAGGGGGTGGTTTCTGAGCGCGGCCGCTATCCACGATACTGTCGCAAAGCCTAGCAGGCGTGGCACTTTCTGGACACCATAGGGGGTGCGCAGGGGGTGGTCTCTCAGCGCGGCCGCTATCCACGACACTGTCTCAAAGCCTAGCAGGCGTGGCACTTTCTCGACACCACAGGGGGTGCGCAGAGGGCGTGGCACTTTCTCGACACCAAAGGGGGTGCGCAGAGGGTGGTCTCTCAGCGCGGCCGCTATCCACGACACTGTCGCAAAGCCTAGCGGGCGTTGCATTTTCTGAATACCAAAGGGGGTGCGCAGGGGGTGGTCTCTGAGCGCGGCCGCTATCCACGGCACTGTCGCAACGCCCAGCAGGCGTGGCACTTTCTGGACACCAAAGGGGGTGCGCAGGGGGTGGCCTCTCAGGCGCAACCGCTGTCCACGACGTTGTCGCAAAGCCTAGCAGGCGAGGCACTTTCTCGGCACCACAGGGGGTGCGCAGGGGGTGTTCTCTGAGCGCGGCCGCAGGGGGCACCAGAGAGCATGGTGGCGGTTGTAGTGCTAGGGCGTTTCACGCAGGACATAAAGTAAGTATGTGGGGTTCCTCAATAGCGTACATTTAGTTATGACTATTTCGATTTTTCGTCCAAAATCCGCATGTAGGAGGATATGCCCGTGGGCGGTGTCGTGACCCTCGTGGCCCGGGGCCGGGAGGGCGAGCGCACCATGCTGGGGCCCAGGATGGTCCCTGCCAGGCACGGTGGTGGTGTCTAGGTGCCCGTCAGGGGCAACGACAGGGGGGGATAGGCTCAGGGGTGGAGTCACAGAGATCCGACGCTCCCAGAAATTTTTGGAGCGGTGGGCTTTGGGCCGTTTTCGGCCTCCAGGGGCGCTCGCCCAGCCTCGGGACCTTCAGAGTCAGGACGAAAACCCGGTCCTGGGGAAGTGGTCCAGACCTCTGAGGCCCACGCGTCAACAAAAATTGGAGCGGCCGGATGTCTGGGGATGCATCGACCCCCACTCGCCCAGTGACCACCGATAGGGTTCTGATAGCCCCACCCCGCCTAGGAATGTGCTGATTCGCCAACAGGTGCCTGTCGCCGATCAATCGGCGATGTATCGCCGAGTCCAGGTCGATGCTTCCCCCCCATGCCAGTTCCCCCCCAACAGTCAACCCGCATAGTAAGGATGGACAACCTTCCCAAGGGTTCCCTTGCACCCTGCTTCCTCGGCCCATCCTTAGCGACTTTCGCTGGCCAACCTCGTTCGACAAACGCACGTGGGCCTTCAAGGCCCTTGCATCCTTACCGCGCATCCTTCTGATACGGGTTGACTGTATCGTTGCCCCTCATGCCCTCCGCGCAGAGGTGCCCGACGAGGACGCCGTGGCCTTCTTCCTGGCGGACCTGGCCGCAGCCAACGAGGCGTGCGAGCCTGTGCTGCTGCAGAACCGACCCGCGCTGCTGGAGGAGGAGCTGCCGCTGCTGCCGGCAGAGGCCCGGTGTTTCGTCTCGGCGGCGCGCCAAAGGGGCAGGGCGAGGGGGGCACTTTGAAGTGGGGCATGCCCCTCTGCAGGAGGAATATATATGCAATAATTGTTTACAGCAGTCACGATTTCTCGTGCTCTTTTGATTACCTAACAGCGAAGACTGATAGGTTTCTAATGGTCTCAAAAGAAAGCATCATGACTCCCCAGGGGGGTCCGGGCAGGATCCGGGGAGAATCCGCGGAAGTCGTTTTAAGCAAACAGTTACACACTTCGTGCTCTTCGAGTTCCCAGAACTCCATTCCCGGGCCACATTTTCAATGTCCGGAGCCAACTGTAGGCCACTTCGTGCTCTTCGAGTTCCCAGAACTCCATTCCCGGGCCACATTTTCAATGCCCGGAGCCAACTGTAGGCCACTTCGTGCTCTTCGAGTTCCAAGAACTTTATTCTCTTGCACAGGGTGTCTAGAGCTCCGACCACTTTATTTCGGCACCGCACCCCCCCCTTCATCATCATCATCATCATCATCATCATCATCATCATCATCATCTTCATCATCATCATCATCATCATCATCATCATCATCATCATCATCATCATCATCACCATCATTCTCACCATCATCATTGTCATAATCACCATCATCATCATCATCATCATCATCATCATCATCATCCACATCATCATCATCATCATCATCATCATGCGCCCCCTCCGTCTCAGCGCCCTCCTGCGGCTCCAGCGCCCGCCCAGTGCCCCCTCCGCCCCGACCACTTTATTTCGGCACCGCACCCCCCCCCCGCTCCGCCCCCTCCCCCGCGCCGTCTCAGCGCCCCCCCGCGGCTCCAGCGCCCGCCCACAGCCCCCTTCGCTTCGACCACTTTATTTCGGCGCCGCACCCCCCCCCCGCTCCGCCCCTTCCCCCGCGCCGTCTCAGCGCCCCCCCGCGGCTCCAGCGCCCGCCCAGTGCTCCTCCGCCCCGACCACTTTACCGCATCCCCCCCTCCCCGCCCGTTCCGCCCCCTCCCCCGCGCCGTCTCAGCGCCCCCGCGCGGCTCCAGCGCCCGCCCAGTGCCCCCTCCGCCCCGACCACTTTATTTCGGCACCGCACCCCCCCCCGCTCCGCCCCCTCCCCCGCGCCGTCTCAGCGCCCCCCCGCGGCTCCAGCGCCCGCCCAGTGCCCCCTCCGCTTCGACCACTTTATTTCGGCACCACCGCACCCCCCTCTGCTTCCCAACGACTGTCTCTGCCCCCCCCCCCCGTCGCCCTTCCGCGCGTTCAGCGACCCGCTCCCGCGGCTCCCAGCGCGTCCCAGTGCTCGCCCGACCACTTTCTTTCGGCATCCGCAGACCCCCTCCGCTCGTTCCTCCCGGGTCTCAGCGGCCCTCGCGGCTCCAGCGCCGCCAGTGCCCCTCGCCCGACCACTTTTTTTTATGGCACGACCCCCCCCCCGCTCGCCCCTCCCCGCGCGTCTAATTCGCCGCGGCTCAGCGCCCGCCCGCGCCCCTCGCCACGACCACTTTATACGGCGTCGCCCCATCGACTCGCCCCTCCCGCGCGTCTCAGCGCCCCGCGGCTTCCAGGCGCCGCCCAGTGCCCTCCCACGACATTTTATTTCGGCACCGACCCCCTCCGCTCCGCCTCCTCCCCCGCGCCGTCTCAGCGCCCCCCCGCGGCTCCAGCGCCCGCCCAGTGCCCCCTCCGCCCCGACCATTTTATTTGCACTTTGCACCGCGAGCCCCCAGCAGCTGAGTCCGCTCAGTAGTTTCTTCCAGCCCTCCTTGGACCCTGGAGGCCTCCCCTTGGGACCCTCTGTAGGCTTCTCGGGCGTCAGTTGGAGGCTTCCTGGGAACCCGTCAAAGGTCTTTGAAGCCATCTTGCGGAGGACTGCCATTGGAGTCTCCTCGCGCTCGCCCTCTGGAGCCCCTCTTGCGGCCCTGTTTTGTTCACTCCTTCTGCGATGTCTGGCATCCTCTCCCCCCCCTCCTCCTCCACATCCTCCTCCTCCCCCTTCCTTTTTGTGCAAGAACCATGGCACACGTGCCACTTGTTTTCGGCGCGTGTCGGGTAGTTGCCGGAAGAGCCCTTCGCGGTCCGAGTCGGAAGAAAAAAATGGAATCGAAATATACGAGAAAGATCCGGGGCGGGAGAAACCGGCATGAGGAAAAACCCGGAATTCCAGGGGTGGAAACCCGGAACCCGAGGGTTCCGGGTTTTCCAAAAGTCCTCAAAGTCCCGGGAAGAGAAAACCCAGAACCCTACGGTTCCGGGTTCCAGGAATTGCCAGGGGTGAGAGGGTCTCTTGGGCCGTCTTGGTGCTCTGTTCGCCTTTGGAGGGTGTCCTGGGGCCGTCTTGGGCCATCCAGAGGCCCTCTGAGGCCATCTTGGGTCCTTCTGGAGGCCCTCTCGGGCCAGCTTGGGGCTCTTTTGGGGCCGTCTAGGGGTCCTCTTGGGCTGTCCTGAGTCCCGAGGCCGTCGTTGCGGACGGGAGCGGAAGGGGGAGGAGGAGGAGGAGGAGGAGGAAGAGGACAAGGAACGGGGGATGATGAGGAGGAGGAGGGTAGATGAGGAGCGAGGTGGGGGGGGACTGAAGGAGGAGAGGGAAGGTTGAGGATGGAAAGCGTCTCTCGTCGTCGTCGTTGTTCGTCGTCGTCGTCGTCGTCGTCGTCGTCGTCGTCGTCGTCGTCGTCGTCGCCGTGTTCTTCGGTCGTCGGCGGTCGTCGGCCCCTGCCGCCTCGGCGCTGTCCCGCACGCGCGCGCGCGGCCCCTTGGGGAGATGAGGGCGAGGAGGGGTAGGAGGAGAAAGAGGAGGAGGAGGAGGAGGAGGAGGAGGAGGAGGAGGAGGAGGAGGAGGAGGAGGAGGAGGAGGAGGAGGAGGAGGAGGAGGAGGAGGAGGAGGAGGAGCAGGAGGATGGCGATGACGGTGACGAGGAGCAGGATGAGGAGGCGTGGCTCTGGACCAGTCGTTCCCAACGGCTTTTTCACCTCAGGCCAGGACCCCGATCCGATCAAAATTTATTTATCCAGGAATTCACACGTTCCATTCAGAATAGATATTGGGCCCACGCGTCGCAATATTATTGTGGATCGGGGTCTGCCTGCTGTATTGCTAGCTACCAGTTTCACGCCATCACCAGAACTTGGAAGCGTTGTGAAGAAGATGCGTCCTATCTTGTTCCAGCAGCCACAGCCGTGGTCAAGGGCATTGTGTGGCATGGGCAGCGCAGATACCTAGCAGGAATGAAAGGGGAGGAAAACAGTTTTGCATGTTGGAGGTGTGGGGAGCCGCAGGAAGATGCTCCCCATTGCTACTGGACATGCCCATGCCTTACAGATCTTGGCCGTTATCACCCAGCCATAGCAGATTCTCAGCATCTCCTCCAGCGAGCTGTTTCCGAGGCTCTTGGCAGTTCGATCGCGTGGCTACGAGGCCTGCAGCCACAGGAGCACACTGCCGATGTGGCTAATAATTTCCATGGTGCTGTGGAACTGGAGTGTTGCGTGTTCCCTGGGCCTACCGTTTCTCTGAATGGCGGGCTGGTGGAATTGATGCTTCGGGAAGTAAGTTCACTGGGGATCCAAGGCTTAGGAGAATTGGCTGGGGGCTAGTATTGTTCGATCGGGACATTCGTGCGATTGGCACCATTTTCGGCCCAGTCCCAGGCAAACAGACCATCCACCGAGGGGAGCTCATTGCCGCCATTAATGCTTTCCGATTGCAGGGGCCTCTCCATCTAATCACATATAATACTAGAACCACGCGCGCGCTTCGCGCGCGCTTAGGTTCTAGCTCGGATCGTCACCGTCGTCATCATGAACATCACCATCGCCATCATTTCCCCCGCCAGGGCTTATGTACATCGTTTCTGGATGCTTCTGGCCGGAATACGAAGGGAATTTCTGTAGTCAGAGTCTCCGGCGGAAGTCGCGGGGCCCCTCAGGATACTTACGGATGCCTCTGATAGTACTTAAGAAATGATGGACCCGTCATTTTGTACCTGTGCCTTGATCAGTGGGACGGGCTTCGCACCGCCGCACATCACAAGACACGCTCGAGCGGATCCAGCCGTGGCGACGTCGGGGACTGCAGAAGGTGTCAAGGACACGGAGTCTGAAAGGAAGAGAGAGAGAGAGAGAGAGAGAGAGAGAGAGAGAGAAAGAGAGAGAAAGAGAGAGAGAAAGAGAGGGAGAGAGAGACAGACAGACAGAGAGCGAAGGAGAGAGAGAGAGAGAGAGAGATGGAGTGAAAGAGAGAGAGAGAGAGAGAGAGAGAACAAAAAAAAAACAGAGCGAGAGAGAGAGAGAGAGGCAGAGAGAGGAAATGGAGAGGAGGCGAGCTTGAGTCAACGAAAGTCGCAGGGAAGGGGGCAAGGGGAAGAAGGCCAGAGAGCGCTGAAGGATACAAATACTGGAACCCTCTTGGGATTTTTTTGGGGGCCTCGTCCGGCCGCTCGCTGGGAGTTTGACGTAGCTTCTCGGGAGCCTCTGAA